AAAATTAATGTAATATAGTATTGGCCATACTATATGATGTATTGCTTGTCTTTGTTTAATAATACAGAAGACAAAGACCTTAAAAAATAATCGCATATCGCATCGCAATCGCAATATTGGGGCAAAAAATCGCAATTAGATTATTTTCCATAATCGTTCAGCCCTAATCAATAGTCATTATCCTTGGCAGAGGGAAGAGCAGATCACAATCTGTATATGAATGATGGATGTAGCTTCCAGTTCTTAAAAGTTTAGTCAAAGCAGAAGTGCCTTAAATCTGCATGTGACTACTGTGACGTGACTGCTCTGGTTCTAAAAATAAATAAGGTTGTGCAAAAGTCTCTGAGAAAATGCTCCTCAGCTTCCTCATTGTCTCACACTTCCCGATGGCCTTATCGCCCTCAAGTACTGGTATTGCCTGGGTAGGGCCATCCAAACGCCTCACAAGAAGGGATAAAGGAAGGAAGGACAAAAAGAAAAATTTAGTAAAGTTACATTAGAAAGCGATGGTGGTGTAGGACTTGGATTAATTAATGGTTAAAGTAATCTAGAAGGTCTAATAAGATCAAGACAAGACATTATTTTAAAAAATGTTATGAATTAAGAATGTTAAAGGTGATCACAGTAGATAAACTTTAACTCATTAAAGACTTAAATCTATCCATAGGCTCTCAGTGTTTGCTGCTTTCTGTCAGAGCCAAAAAGTGCAGAAAATGTGTCAGCTGATGTTTTCAATCATCTTTTCAATTGTCTCTTTTGCTAGCTAACATCACCAGCAGTAGCTGACTGTATCTGTCTTAATTGTGGCTTTTGTGGTAGTGCAGTTATTTAGGTCATGCAGTACAGTGCTTCTGAGTCATGATAAAGTAGGTGAGGTAAACTTGGTTGTGGATAAAATAGCAAATTTCTTGCTAATTAAATATGCCACAAAATAGCTGTTTATTATCAAACTTCAATCCATCAATTAAATACACTTATCTTATCATTATCAGGCTCCAGACCCTTTTTATCCAGATTACACCTTGTCAACAACTGTGCCCATGAGCATAAAAGTATACCGGGGTGAGAATTAATACATGTTGTAACATTAAATTAAATTTAAAAAAAAAAATTTTCATAGGTGATGTATGGATCTACTCTATTTATCAGCCCAACTATGACAAAAACACAACAAACGTGGACCCCTACTGCAACAAGACCCTTTACCTGTTTGCCTTCTGGATAAACACTTTGTTTAATATCTCAGTTGGGTTTTTTTTCCTGGGCGTCTTCTTGTTCCTCCTCGGCTTCTGCCTGTATAGGGGTGCCAATCCTGCCGCCGACGTGTAACGACTTTTGGAAATGATGAGGGGACTGGACGCACTCAACGAATATGCTGCCAAGGCAAATATGTTGGAAATGGGTTCCAAAAAATGGCAGGATAAGTGTGTGATGTGTCCGTGCATCTTGTGTTGAAAGATGAGCATTTTCTATACCTCTGCAGCAGCTACTGTTTACAGGAATTTAATTATATCAAGAAGATCACTGATGTTTAAGAATTTGTACGAGAGCTGATTCCAATAGCAAAAATATGTTTTACTTTCTTATTTGTTGCCATATTTGTCCCAGGAAAACACACAGGTCTACATTATAAATGTGAGCAAGGTTTTTCTCACAAGTTTTTCAGCTCATCATTAAACTCTTTTAGTGACATTACAGATAAATCTCAGCCACTCACATCGTTTACTGGCATCTTATTTGCCAATAAAAACCCAGCATCGGTCAGTGTCAGTAATTAGCTGATATATCTGTGAATCTGTAGATGTGCTGTTACATGCTGAGCCACAAATTGGCATTATTGAGTGTAAATGATGAAATTAAAAAGTCACTTTGGTTATGGTATCATTTAGGAAATAAATAAATAAGAAATAAATCATGTGTAATGCGGTTTTTCATAATTATAATTCTGTAAAGTGTAGGTTTGTTTTCTGTGGAAACCAACACTTTTTTGTATTTCACTGTTCAAAATGTAATCACATCATTAAACTCTGTCAGAGGTTTATCGCTGCAAGGATGGATCATGAATCGTGAGATTTGTAATAAAAGTCATGCTGTATTTTGTCATGTTAGGAATAAAAATGAAAGAGAAGAAAGATTGGGAAGCTTTTATGCGCCGGCTGTGTAGCAACAGGAAATAGTTTCATCTCAAAAGAAGAAATTCTGCACCTACATGCTAAATGATAGTCTGTGCAAGAAAGCATTAGACAGAAGCGCACAATGGATAATACGGTTATTTTCAGTGTATCTGATCTTTAAAATTTGTAATTGGATACTGTCCCAGTACTGAAGCTTACTTTTTTTGTTGTTTCTGTGAAAAACGACAATGGTTAAGGATTAAAGTGTACACCTCTATAACCGACTCTGTTTAATTATTAGTTGTTAATAATCTCTGGCTTGGCTTGCTTCCACAGCGTGTCTTTTTCCTGTCTTTCTTCCCTAACCCCAACCGAAAGATGGGAAACCACTGAATAAGAATCGGTGTTACAAAAAAGACACAGTGGAGACTCATGATTTCATCCAGGAAACACCAAGAACCTTAGAGGCTTGCAAAGTGTATGGCTGGGAAGGCCAGTTTTAGTCATGTATTTATGAGTGGGGGCTCAGTGCAGATAAGAAAACTAATATTTAGGTTTTCAGAAAATAAAAACAGTTGAACAACAGAGGAATCTGTGATAGACTTGAAATCCTCTACAAGGATCCTCCATTCCCCAGTACAGACCAGTCCCTCTTTTACAAGAGACAGCCTCCACCAGGTCTGTCCTGGCAGAGGCCGAGGGTGAGTTAGACGTGGAGTGTAAAATATAAATGTTTTTGTTTTTTAACTTGAAATACATCTCCTCCGCGAATCGCTACCTTATCGTGGTGGAGGGGTTTGTGTGTCCCAGGGATCCCAGGGGCTATGTTGTCCCGGGACTTCTGGTAGGGTCTCACATGGCAAATTGGTCCTGGGTGAGGGACCAGACAAAGAGCGATTCAGAAGACCCCTATGAGAAGACCATCGAGGGAACAGTTCACTCTGCCCGGGATAGGGTTACCGGGGCCCTGCCTGGAACGGTTTGCAGCCGAGTGTGGGAATGAGAATCAGCAATTCCAAATCTGAGGCCATGGTCCTCAGCCAGAAAAGGGTGGAGTGCCCACTTTTTATTAAAGGACAGGCGTCATGTCAGCTGGTGAAACCTTAGCCCTCAGGGAGGAAGTTGATGATGGACTGCTATATTGGTGGGATTGTGGGTGTGTGTGTACAATTGAACATAGAAAAAGCACAAGCCAATGTAAATAGACAGCTGTACCCATCACAACAGTGGGCTAAGGATAGGTTTTTATAGCGTCCACAGAGAGCTAAGGGTGTAGCTCAATCCCACCACAGAGAGCTAAGGGTGTAGTAATACACTTGAATTAAAACTAAGTAACTAAGTAATTAATTACTTTTGAAAATAAGTAATCAGTAAAGTAACGGGATTACTTTTTTGGGGAAGTAATCAGTAATTAGTTACTGATTACTTTTTTCAAGTAACTTGACCAACACTGATTCACACACTGGCGATGGCAAGCTACATTGTAGCCACAGCTGCCCTGGGACGCACTGACAGAGGCGAGGCTGCCGGACACAGGCGCCACCGGGCTACGTAGGGGCACGGTAGGGGCAATCACTTTGTGGCAGACCAATGTCATTGTGGCAGACAATCACTTTTTGGCGCAACACCTGGCGCTAGGGGGCAAAACAATCACATGAGGCTGCTGTTTGACTGAGGAAGAATAAAGCCAATCACACGACCACTTCAAGATCACAAAGCAACAATGTGATATATACTAGTTTTT